TGTGTGTGTGTGTGTGTGTGTGTGTGTGTGTGTGTGTGTGTGTGTGTATGTGTGTAGGAATCAGAGAAGATAGAGGCTCACCGCTGGACCAGGGTACATGCTGGCCTCACAGTTCTCCCTCCAGGACATGTTGAGGCTCCGGACAAACTCCAGGTAAAAGGGGTGGGACGTGTTGAACATGGAGAAACCCAGAATGTTGGATGAGTCCTCCACAATGCCATCCAGGTGGAGAATAGGGAAGTCCTAGGGGCAGGGGGGGGGGGGGGATCAGGTCCAAGGAAAGGCTCAGAGCCTGAGACAAGGAGAAGGGAGGCTCAGAGCCTGAGATGGGGAGAGGAAGGCTCAGGCCCTAGGGACAGGGAGTCTGGAAGTCATAGAAAAGGGAAATACAGGCTCAAACCCAAGACAGGGAGAAGATACTCAAGGTTTGGGATAGATAGCTGAGAAATGCTGGGTCAGGGGAAGAGGCAGGTGGCCAAAGGCAGGGGACAAAAGAGGAACTCACCATGGTTGTGAGGATGTATTTATAAAACGCTGAAGTCATCCCCAACTCTGAGGCCTGGAGGCAAAAGGGAAAGTGGGGGGGGGGGGGGGGGGAGAGACAAAGACATACAGAGAGACATACAAATGGAGACACCGTAAATGATGGAGATACAAAGACAGTAACAGAAACAAGATACAGAGAGAGAGAGAGATGAACATTGACAAAGAGATGTGGTGGCAGAGATATAAGGGCAGAGACACAGGGGGTTAAAATAAGAGAGAGACAAAAGCAGAGACACGGAAAAAATTAAACCAAAGACAAAATCAGAGAAACCACCAAATTACAGAGAAATACCCAGACAGGAACATAGGCACAGATTTAGAGGCCGACAAAGAGAGCCACACAAAAAGACGGGCAGAATTGGTCAGCGGGGTTGCAGAGAGATGGTGCTGGGGCCCATGAGGCAAGCTCTCTCCACTGCCTGTCCCCATCTCTACTCCCCACACCTTTCTGACGTTGGAAGACCTAGGACGGGGAGGCTAGGACAGGGAAGAAAGAATTTCAAAGATCAAAAAACACCACCGAGGGAAGGTGCAGAGAGAGTGCCCGCAGGCTAAGGGCCAAGGGGCACCGGGTGGACTCACAAAGACCGTTCTTCTACCCCATTCCAGAAAGCCAAGATCAGCACTTAGATCTGCACGGGTTTCCAATTTCTCAAATGCTCTACAGTTTGAAAAGCGGTCCAGCTCTCCCCCTCCCTGTCCGTGTCTCCCCACCCTCTCCCTCGGCTACTCCTCTGTCCCTCCATATCTTCCTCCCTCTGTTCCTATCTCCCCTTCTCTCTGTACTTCAGTCTCCTCTCCTTTACATCTTTCCTTCTCCTTCCTTTCTTCCTCTTTGCTCCCCTCTGTACCTCAGCTCCTTCCCTTAGTCTCCTTCGTCTGATCCCCTTCCTACTATTCCTGTCTTCCTTTTCTGTCTCCCCCTTTTTCTATCTCTCAGTATTCCTCTCTGTCTCTCGTCCTCCTCTCTGTACCCTCAATCTCCCCTTCTCTCTCAGCTTCTCCTCCTCTGTCTTTTTTTCTGTCTCTGTCTCCCTTTTAACCTTCATTCTTTCCTCACTGTGCCTCATTCTTCATCTGCCAGCCTCCCTTTCTCTTTCCTCCTCTGTCTCCACTCTCTGTCCCTCAGCATTCCCTCCTTCATCTCCCTCGGTCTTTCCCTCCCGGTCTCTCAGTGTCCTTCTCCACAGAATCCCACCATCTCCGAATCAGAAGGGACCTCGAAGGCCATCCAACCTAACCCACTGCTGACCAATTCTCTCAGTTCCCATTAAGTGACCATTCAGCTTCTGCTGGCAGACCTCCAGTGACAGGGAATCCACTTTAGAATGGCTCAGATAGTTAAGAAACTTTTCCTCGTATCCAGCCCAAATCAATCCCAACAGTTTACACCCACTGCTTTTGACTCTCCCCTCGGGGGCCAAAGAGGAACTCTATAATCTATCTTCTACAGGACAATCCCTCCAGGCAATGATGGTGGCGACCCCTATCCCCACCCCAGCTTTCACTTCCCTCAAACTCAAATAGAAACTGAGAATCTTATAAAAGGATCCCTGCAGGCTGCATATTGACTTAGAAAACCACATATTACCATTTCTTTGTTCTATTGTATTTTTATTTATTTTGTTAAATGTTTCCCAATTACATTTTAATCTGCTTCTGGCTGACCTCAAGAGGACTGGAGTTCTGCAAAGCGACTGCTGGAGGTGTGTTTGGCACCTCTGGTCTGGAGGACTTTCACTATCCCAACCTTTCCTTAGATGGCTCAGTCTGTCAATGTCTTTCCTAGAATGTGGTGCCCAGAACTGAGCACTCTGGACTTTCATTTGCTTTTTTTGGATGCTAAAATCCCTTAATCACAAAGACTGTTGTTATCTAGCCACAGCTTGTCCTGGAGTCTTGGACCTAGAGTTTGAAGACCCACTCAGACACTTTCTAGATTGTGAACCCAGGCAAGTCACTTAACCTCTATCTGTCTCAGTTTCTTCATCTGTAAAATGGAGATAATATACCTCCTACCTCCCCAGGCTTGTTGTGAGGATCAAATGAGATTTTATTTGCAAAGTACTTTGCAAACCGTGAAGTGTTATATGAATGTTAGCTATTATTCTTATTACTATTCTTATTACATTGATTAAATTAAATTTTATTAAATTAAACCCATTATTCTAATCTGCTTAAATCTTTTTGGATCCTACTCATTTAGCTACCCCTCCTAGATTTGAGTCTTCTGCAAATTGGTTGAGGATGCCACTTATGAGTTCAGAATATTAATGGATAAAAAAAAAAAGTTGAACAGCCTGATGTCAAGCACGGATCGCTGGGTGCCTTCATTAGAGACTTCCCTCCAAGCTGGCATTGAGCTCTCAATAGCTATTTTTGGGTGCCAGTCTTTCAGCAAGTTCTGAATCCCATACTCTCTATATTTCTCTATCTTTAGTCTTGTTTCTCTATACCTTATTTTACCTAAATAGATTGTCATAAGGATAACTAGCTACCTTTAATACTGAGCTTTAGGGTTTGCAAAGTGCTTTACATACATAATTTTATTTGATCCTCACAACAACCCTGTGCTATTATTATCCCCATTTTATAGATGAGAAAACCAAGGCTGAGAGAGGAACTTGCCCATTGTCATACAGCTGTAAGTGTCTGGGGCAAGATTTGAACTAAGGTCTTCCTGATTCTACATCCAGCACACTGCTCTAGCACCACCTAGCTTCCTCTGCTGTCATCTAGCTCACATCTCTCCATCTTGTCCTCAAAAATATCATGACTTCATCAAATGTTTTGCTAAAATCGAAGTAAATTATTCACCATTCCCCTATCAATCTATCAAACCAATGGGAAAAAAAAGCAAATGAGTTTGCTCAGGTATGACCAGTTCATTACAAAACCATTCTAACTGATCACTGCTTCCTTTTCTGGGTGGGCACTAACCATCCCTTTTACAAAACATCCTAGGGTATGACCAGAAACTGAAATCAAAAGCACTAGTCAATGATTTACAGACTCTACTCTTCCATTTTTTGAAATTATGGATATTTCCCCTTCTCCGTCCTCGTGGGACCTCCCCTGTTCTTCACACTCTTCCAAAAGACCTCCCTATTCCTCTCTCTGTCCCTCTCTATCCTTCCACCTCCTTCCTTTCTGTTTCTCAGTCTTCCCTTTTTCTATCCACCAGTCACCCTTCTCTTGGACTTTCTCAGTCTATTTCCCACCTCAACTCATCCTTATCACTTTTCTGCCCTATCTTTCACGTCAGTGATTTCATGTTTATGTCAGCCCCGGGAGGAAGGGTACAGTGGGCATCATTTTCCCTGTATCATGGGTGAGGGAAATGAGATTTAGAAAGGGAGAGCGACATATATCAGTGGTCAAGTCAGAAGCACAACCCAGGTCTCCCGAACTCTCAATCTGAGTCTTTTTTTTTTTAAGGGTAGTGGTCATGGCTCTGAGGTCAGAAGACCAGGGTCAAAAGACTGGGGTCAGAGGGGAGCAAGTTGGAAGTTAGGGGGAGGGTGACACATACCTTCTTGAGGATGAGATGGGAGATGGAAGCATTGGCATCGATGATGATGGTGGAGACCTTGTCGTCCCGAATTTCTTTGAGCAGAGGCGTGGGGTCCCGGCTTTCATCAAGCATCCGAACTGACAAAGTCTCCTTGGAGATCAGGAAGCCTCGAACCAGCTCCTCCAGTCTCAGCAGGCCTAGGGGAGAAATGGAGCAGGTTTGGGGTGAGGACTCCCAGAGACGGGGAGAGATGCTGAGGATGGGAGAGAAGGCTCAGGGGGTAGAGGACAGGCTGAGAACCTGGACGCCTGAGTGCCCGGGGGAAACTGAGGAAACCAAAGCAGGGGTGCCCAAAGAAGGCCTGGGAGGAGAGATCACGCTTGGGCCCCCCATGGCCAGGTCCCCTCCCTCACACTCCGCCTTGGCACAGATGAGGCTGGCTGAGGGATAGTTGAAGGATTTAAGGATTCGGGAGACCGCAAGACTGACGTCCTCGTTGCTGGGGTAGAGACTGACAGAAGCAAACCGAAGGTACTGGAGTCGGGGTGTCTCCTCTGGGCCCACCTTAATGTGGGGGATCTGGAGAAGGGCACAGAGAAAAGTCTGTATCCCTTCCTACTCAGCCCCGTCCCCTTGGCTCCCAGCTGCCCCACTGCCCCTTACCTCCTTCTCCCCACAGATGTGGCTGACAATGGAGGCCGAGGCTGGGCTGGAGGAGGGTCCTAGGACCGACACGACCCCCTTGGGCAGGATCTGGCACACTTCAGAGGGTGGAAAGGGAACCTCCCATCACACACAGGCCCCAAACCCTGCCCCCTCCCCACTTCAAGTGGAGCCTCGGCCCTCCCTTAGCCTTCTCTGCTCTGAGATCCCTGGGCCAAGGACAAAGAAACTGAGTCTTGGTACCCAGGTGAAGTGTTGACTGTCAAGTTCTGACTGTTGCTGGGGGCCATTCAGACCCACTGAATTGTCCTCTCTGGGACCCTTGGATGGCTCCTTGGGATGTCCCTTCAACCCAGAGACTGAGTGTCCTCTCCTCCTCAATTGGATCTGCATTTTCAATGGATAACTGGCCAAAAGGGGACCCAATGGTAAGAGTTGAGGGAGAGAGAGACTGAGGGGCAAAGGGGAAAGAAACAAGAGAAGTGAGGAGGCCTAACGGAGAGGGGAGAGTCTGAGGGACAGAGAGAGAGCAGGCCTGGGGCCCTTGTCTCCCTCTGTAGGTTGGGGGAAGCCCCTCTGTGCCCTTCCCCCAGGCCCAGTCCTTGGCCCCGCTCACTGGTGTCCGTAGTCTCGTACTGGCTGTCTCTCTGGAGCTCAAAGATGTCCACCTCCACTCGGGCCTTGGCTGGGACTTCGATGATCCCGTTGATCTGCTCCCGGGCAAGGGCCAGGGCCAGGCGTTCTCCCCTGCCACACACAGTCTGGTCGTCCAGGATAGCGGCTGTGGGGACAAGAGGCTGGGAGACCAGAGGCCCCTGAGGGAAGCAGCCCTCAGGGATCAGGATGCCTAAGTCCCTGTAGAAGCAGGGAATGGGGGATGAGGACTTCTGGATCCCTTAGCACCAAGAACTGGTAGATTAAGGCTTCTGAGTCTCAGAGGGGCAGGGACTGAAAGACCTGTACACCTGGGTCTCTGGTGGTCAGGGCTGGGGGAATTAGGGATCCTGGGGACGCTGAGACCAAGGACGCAGAGATCAGGGCTCCTGAGTCCCTGAGGGTCAGGATGCTTGGGGGCCTGAGGGAGTAGGAACTTGTCGATAAGCATATGTGGGTCACTGAAGGGCAAGGCATCAGGACCGAAGCACATGGCCCAGGGAATCAGAATGCTTGGGTCTGTGAGAGGGCAGGGCAGGGCAGGGAGTGGGGATGCCCGGGGTCCTTGTGGGGCAGGAACTGAGGCATAAGGACTCTGGGGTCTCTGTGGGGGAGGCCTCACCCATGCGCAGGGAGGACAGCACCTGACCACTGGGGTGGGCAAAGGCGACAATCAGCAGCAGCAGCAGCTCCGCAGGCATCTTCTTCCCCTCCTCATGGAGAAGCTGCTGCCCGAGGCCCCCACGCACCGCCTGCAAGAGAAACCCATTCCCAGGTCTACTGAGCCCAGGTGACGGCCCAGGGCACTGCAGAGGGATACTCACAGCCCGACGCTTCTAGGGGAAAGGCCTTGGCTTTGGGCTACCAGAGAGGGAGGAGATGAGAGCCTGGACATACATCTGGGGGCAGGGAGCTCATGGGCCCGTGGGCCCTCTACCCCAGAACGTTGCTAGTGGACAGTTCACAGTCCTGGGCCTCTGTTGGGGTTAGGACGGGGACAGGACTCAAGTCCCATCGCTAGAAGGAAGCTCACAACCGGAAAGGACTGCTGGGAAGGTAAGCAGAGCTCCCAGGTTCTGGGGCCCTGCTGAAAGGGGAAGCTTGTGGCCCCTGGGGCCCTGCTAAAGACGGAGCCCTGAGGAGGTTCAGATGAGGTGTTACAGTAGAGCTCGCAGCCCAAGAGCAACACTAGACTGCAGGAGGGGAGAGCTTTCAGCCCAGAGACACTTTTGGGGAGGACTCACGGCCCAGAGGAATTGGGGCCAGGAGGAGCTGGAGAGGGGTCCAGAAGCTCTCAGTCCTCACAGCACCATTGGAGGGGGCAGCTCACAGTCCAGGAAAACTGCCTCAAGTGTGGGGGAGTTCAGAGTCCCAGAAGAAGAGGGGGTCACAGAGAGGCTATCCCCACCCCGGAATCAGAATCCGGGCCAGGAAGCAGCACCCGCCCCTATCTCCGGGCAGGCGCCTGTCACTAGGCAACAGGAGGCGGCTAGAGAGGATGCAGTGGTCACCAGGCAACGATATCCCAGCCCAGATCCCTGCCACCTCCCCTCCCCTGACGTCCAGCTTTCCCACAAGCCCAGGGGGCTGGGGACTGACAACTGGGAGGGGGGGAGGGGGGGAAGAGAGACACAGAGAGGCAGAGTGAGAGACTGAGAGACATCAGGGAGAGATACACAGGGAAAGAGGGACAGAGATTCAGAAGGAGAGATTGACAGAAGAAGAAAAGGAAAGGGAAAGACACAGGGAAAGGATAAACAGTAAGACACAAGACACAGGGGTTGGCAACCTTTCCAAAGGGATTTACTTGACTCCTATTCTGCTGTACTGGGGGGGAGGTGGGAAACTGGAATCAGAGTAACAGGCTCTCAAGACAAGAAGGGACCTTACAGACCATTTAGGACAAACCCCCCATTACACAGATGAGGAAACTGAGGCTCACAGGAGAGCAAGGATTCACATAGTGTCAGACAAAGGCACGATCCAGTCTAGGGCTCTGCCCACCACTGCCTCTCATAAATAGCCTCTGTGCCATCCCCACCCCACCCCTACATACACTTTCCCCCATTCCCTCCAATCAGAAAGATACTGAGGTTAACCAGCAATTCAGGAAAGACAAACTCCCCCAGGGAAGAGGTGAGCCTTTAGGTCGTTGTCAAAGCTAGAAGGCACCTGGAAGGTACTGAATCCCAATCCATGCAAGAAGGCAAGAAGTCTCTACCGTTTCCCAGTCTCTGCTTGAGGACCAGAGTCCAAACCCTCGGTTCTGCCTCTTATACCTGTGTGATTTGGGGCAAGTCCCTTAACCTCTTCAGGCCCTCAGTTTCCTTATCTGTAAAATGAGGAGTAATGGCTAAATGTCCTTCTAAGATCGCTTCCGCCTCTAAATGTATTGTCCCAGTGACCTCCAGCGATAGGAACCTCACCACCTCTCTACGTCATTCTATTCCAGACCGTTCCACTGGAGGACGGGGCTCGTGTTTTCCTTATGCCAAGCCAAAGGCTGCCATTCTATAGTTTCCACCCATTGCTCTTTGTTCTGTCCAGTAAGAACTGGCCTAATCCATTCCCCGAAAGCCAAGCCTCCAGGTATTTGAAGACAACTGTCACGGTGCCCTTGAGTTTCCTCCTATCTTTATACCTCCTGGTCTCCAGTCCTCTCCACACCCCATTCGATCTCCTCTGGATGAATTCTGGCAGATCACTGCCTCATCTCAACTGTAGTTCCAGAATGGGATGTTACACAGCCCCCCCCCCCCACAATTTGGTGGGAAAGAGTTTCATCAGCTAATTTAACACCAGGCTTAGGTCAACAGAAAGAGAGAAGAGGATTTGTGATGGGAGAGCCAGGATACTCTGAATTTCTCCCCTACTCTTCTCCTACCAGACCTGTAACTCAGAGAGTGTTAGAACTGGGGGTGAGGGAGCTTTTAGGCCATAAGGCAAAGAATGCCAAAGATAGGAGAAACCTTAGGACATAGAATGACACAGCTGGAAAGGATTTTAGAACAAGGTAGTGGTAGTGAATGCAGAGCTGGGAGCCAGACCTTAGAATATGGAATGTCAGAGCTTGGAGGAACCTTAGAACATGGAATGTTAGTTCCGAAGGACTTAGCATGAAAAAATGCTATTCATCTCCTGAGAGAGAATTGATGAACTCTGAGTGCAAATTAAAGTATAATTTTCTCACCTTTATTTTTCTTGCTTTTTTAAAAACATGGCTACTATGGAAAAGATTTCATATGTATAATTAATATCATATTGGTTGCCTTCTCAGTGGGTGGGGAAAGGGATGGGAAGGAGGGAGAGAATTTGGAATTCAAGTTTTAAAAAGAAAAGAATGTTTAAAATAAATAAATAGTATATTTTTTAATTAAAGCAATACATTTTTTTCTGTTTAGAAAAAAAATGGAATGTCAGGGCTGGGAGGGACCTTAGAACAAGGAATGTCAGAGCTGTAAGGGACCTTAGAACAGAGAATGTCAGACCTCAGAACATGTAACGTCAGTGCTGGAAGACAATTTAGTATACAAGATGTCAGGCCTGGAAAGGATCTAGGAACAAAGACTGTCAGAGCTAGGGTTGGACCATAGAACATAAAATGTCTGAGACAGGAAGGACCTTAGAATACAGACCATAGAATGTCCTACCTGGAAAGCATGCAAGAATATAGAACATATAATTTCAGAGACCATAGGAACCTTAGATTACATAGAGACTGTCAGAGCTGGAGAGCAGAGTGGCAGAGATGGACAAAACCTTAAAATAGACAATATCTGAGCAGGAGGAGATGTTAGAATATAGAATGTCATAGATGGAAGAGGCACAGAAAACAGAATGTCAGTGTCAGGAAGGACTGGGGAACAGATACTGCTGAAGCTGGGGATGGACCTTATAACCCAGGTGTCTGAAATGGGGAGGGCATAAGACTAAAACACATAAACTGTCAGGACTGGTAAGAACCTAAGAACACAGATCATACCATTTCAGAGGATGTAGGGACCTTAGAACAGAGAATGTCTAAGCTGGCAAGTCCCTTAAAGATTAACTGCTCCAGCCCCCTCATATACAGGTGGAGAAACTGAGGCCCAGAGAGAGGAAGTTATCCGATGAAATTACATACAGAAATGCTTCATAAACAATGAAGTGCTGCATAAAAATGTCATTATTACTGTTTGATCATTACTATTTTTAGAATGTCTATTACTAGACTTTCCCAAAATTATAGGAACCCAGGTATCTTGACTCCCAGTCATTTCACTACCACTACCTTGAGAAGCTTTGGGTTACCTGAGGAGACCTGGATGGGGAGGGAGAAGAGGGGAGAGATCACTAAAGACACTTTGGACAGCTCCTGGAGTGACCACAGTCCCAGACTGGGAGTCAAGAAGAAAACCTGTTACACCTCCTGTCCCAACCCTGACTTACCGTGTGACCTTGGACAATTGCCTTTCCTTCTCTGGGCCTCAGTTTCTCCACGTGTAAAAAAAAAAAAACTAGATCGATTCTGAGGGTTAGCCGTTAGAGTTCTGTGAATTTGTGCTTTGTAATTCTGGGACAGACTTTATAAATGGCTGGCTTAAATGTCCCTGAAGGTGGGAGACCAAGAGGAAGGCAGGGGTCCCTTGAGTGAGAAACGAAGCCTCAGTCATGTGAAAGTAGGAACCAGTCAGGAAGAAAGGTAGGAGGGTAAAAGAGTGTGTGTGAAGGGAGACAAGGAAGAGAATGCCAAGTGAGAAAAGCATATGGAGACACAGGGATGGAGATGGAAACAAGAACTAGAAGACAGAGATAGAAGAGATATACAGAGATAAATAGAGAAGAAAGAGATAGAGGGGGTGAAAAAGAGAGAGAGAGAAGAAATGAGAGACAAAGAGACAGAAACAGATGGGTAGAGCAGGAAACAGATGACTGACAGAGAAAAGAGGGGAGGGGAAGAAGAGTGACAGAAAAAAGGAGGTAGAGGTGGGAAGTGAGAGAAAGGGAGACAGAGAGATGAGAGAGACTTAGGCAGGCAGAGGGACAGTCTCACACACACACACACACACACACACAGTGCTCATTGGATCAGAGTAGGAGACTCAGGCAGATGGATAAAGTCAAATCCAAAACAACAGGCAGACACAGATAGCCCAAGGCAGGGACAGTCAGACAGACAGCCAAACAAACCAAAATGAGCTAACTAAGAGATAGGGAGCACAAATAAATTAGGCAACAAAAAAAAGAGGGTAGAGGGGAAAGAGGTCCCAGAGAGGAGAGAAAGTTAGGAAGAGATAGGAATAGAGACATGGAGAAAGAAATATACACGAAGAAAAACACAGAAGAAAAGAGAAGGGCAAAAGTGATAGAAATGAGAGAGAAAGAGAAGGTGAGAATAAGGGAAAAGGAGAGCAATGGAATGGATTGAGGTCTGAGAGGAGGCGAAAGAGTGATGAGGCCTGAGTAAGACAGAAAGGACAGAGATGGAAAGGGGAGGAGGCATCAACAGAGACTGACAGGCATGGGAAAAAGGAGACATGGAAGAAGAGGGAGACAGAGACACCCATAGCCAGGTCTGGAGAGAGGAATGGAGAAAAGAGAGGCAAATCGACAGACAGAGACTGCCAGGGAGAGACAGAGGTGGAGAAGGAGACAGAGACACACAGAGAGAACAAGAGATGATGGAGATGAAAAAGAAGTGGGAGAGAAGCAGAGGCAGAGAATGAGAGAGAAAGACACAGACAAAGGAAGGGAGACAGAATGAGAGAGAGCTAGAAGTCATGAACAGAAACAGAGAGAGTGAGAATAAGAGCCAGAGGCACAAAAAAGAGGCCAGAAATATGCACACAGAGGGAGGGGTGCAGAGATATACAGAGAAACAAAGTGAGAAAGTCCAGAACCAAGGCACAGAGGGAGAGAGAGATAGGGAAATAAACAGTGAAAGACAGTAACATAGAGTAGACATGGAGACAAGCAGAGACACAGTGAGAGAAAGTCAGAGACACACGGAGGGAAGGAAAGAGAGAATAATGAAATCAGGAGGAGTGAAGAAAGGAGAGAGGAAGGGAGAGACTGAAGACAGAGGAATGAGATACACAAAAGTTAAAGTGGAAAGAGAAATGAAAGAGGTAGATTGAGACAGACACACGGAGACACACACATACAGAGTAAGAGAAAAACAGTAAGACACAGAGACGGGGAGAATCAAGGAGAAAGAGAAGCAGAATGAGACAGAAGGAAAAATATAAAGCAAGAAGGAAATAAGGACAGTGACAGAGACAGCATGAGACTGTGAGAGACAAAGAGAGACCCTGACATGCAGAGAGAGAGAGAGAAAGGAGGTCAAGAGACTGGCCAAGAGATAGCTGGGACAGAGAAAGAAAAGATGAGCTAGGAAAGTTAGAGAAGCAGATGGCCTAAGAAAGAAACACACGGAGACAGAGATACAGAGAAATGAAAAGGAAGAGAGGAGAACCTGAGGAATACATAGAGAGAATCAGAAAAGAAGAAGACAGGGTCATAGGAAACCAAAGGCAGAGATACAAGGAGATAGACAGATACATGGAGGCTGAGAGACAGAGAGACCAGGGTGCCGAAATTAAGAGACAGAGAAAGACTGAGAGACACGGGAAAAGGAGCTAAATACATAGAGAGAGTGATACAGGGAGAGAGAGAAGAGGAGAAACAGCAAAACAGACTGAGAGACATTGGGAGGAGGAGATAGCTAGACACAGACTGAAAGACACCAGGGAAATAGAGGCAGAGATTGAGGATAATAGAGAAAAAAAAAAAACAAGATAGAGGCTAGGTCATAAAGACAGGGGCAGAGAGACATGGCAAGGCAAGAGACAGCACACTTTCAAAGAGAGAGACTGAAAGACAAATGAAAAGTCGATAATGTGTCCCGAAGGGTGGGAGAGGCTGGAGGCCTGGGGGGGAAGGGGAAATAGAGGAGAGAAGAAGCAGATACTGGAAGTATCTAAAAAGTGTTCTGGGGAAATGAGGGGATGGCAGGATGAAAGACGCCTCCCTCCAGCCAAGCCCCGGCCTACGCTCCCTGGGGGATGTAGAGTCAGTGAGGGCACTTGGCCAGGGACCTTGGAGAGTGGGCAAATCCATCCTGCTCCCAGGAATCGCCCCCCCCCATCACCAAAGGAGTCTCCCTTTTCCAGCTTGGCTGCGCCCAGCCCCACTCACCCACCCCACCCCCACTCCCACCACCCCACCACCCATACACACAGGCAGACACTCACGGATCCTGGTGGGCCAGACGGCTGGGGCTCTCTTGCCGGCTCAGGGGCCAAGAAGGATGGGGGTGGGGAGGGACGCTGAGATGGAGATGGAGGAGAGTCTTCTGGTCCCCAGCTGCTGGAGGTGGGGAGCCAGGTGGAAGGGGTGAGGGAGAGAGGGGGGGCTGGCGGGCAGGCCTGAGAGGGGAGAGGAGAAGGGGGAATGCAAGGAGAAAATGGAGGAGAAGGGAAAGAGTAATGGAGGGAAGGAAGGAGAGAGCTGGCCCAAATGGGGCTCCCCACCCCCGGCCCCCTCCCCTCAGCCGGGTCGGCCTAGGGGGGCTGCTGGGGGTGAGGAATGGGCCAAGATGCAGCCCGTGGCCATGAGGTGAGGGGGTGGGGGAGGGGAGGGGCCGGCAGGGGGAGGGGGTTACCCCGTTCTCCCCCCTCCCCCCCCAGGCCTTGCCCCTCCCCTGAGGCAGCAGGGGAGAGGGGAGACTAGGGATTCAAGACTTCAGGCCTGACCAAGGGAGCATCAGGCCCCGGGGGTGAGGAAGGAGGATGGAAGAGAGGGGAGCAGGGGGTGTAAAAGACAGTGGGGGAGATGGTGAGAGTGGATGATGGGAAGGATAGGGAGATAAAGGAGGCTCAGAGAATGGGGGAATTGGGAAGCTGGTAGCACAGGAAGGGTTGAAGATAAAAGAGGCTGGGGGCACAGAGTATGGGGGATGGGGATATGGGGAGGAAAGAGGGACCGGGGAGAGGCTGGGAAGATGGGGGAAGAGAGGATGGGAGAGATAGGAAGAGGAAAGGAGAGGGAGATGGGGAAGGATGGAGGAGGAGAGGAGGGATGGGGAAACAGGAGAGACAGAGGAGAGAGGGGGAAGGGGGGACGGAGGAGAGGGGGAGATGGGGAGGGATAGAGTGAGCCCGGTGGCCCAGAAGAGAGGGGATGGAGGAAGCTGGGGAAAGAAGGAAGGAAGGAGGAGGAGGAAGAAGAGGAGGAGGAGGTAGGAGGGAAGGGGGGAAGAAGGGAGGGATGGGGAGGAAAAGCAGGAGAAGGAAGGATGGAGCGTTCCTGAGTCCCTCCTCGGCTGGCCTCCTGGCTCCCCCTCAGCGTCGAGCCACCGGCCTTCACAGGGCCCTGCCTCAGGCCACCCCTCTCCCTCTCCGGCTGCCGATTCTCTTCCCTTCTCCCCTTCTCTGAGTCCGCGTCCTCCCTTGATGGCTGGCGCTGGGGGGGAGGAGGGGAAAAAAGGAGAAGAGGGAGGAGGATGGAGGCAAAGAGGAGGGAGGGGAAGGGAGGGAGAAGAGTAGGGGAGGGGGAGGGAGAGGCTGCTATTGGTTGGCAGCCTGGTGGGGGGGGCGAGAGGAGAATACCAATGAGGGGGATGGAGCTGCACTGGGCATCGGGGACCACCCCAGGCGTCCTCTCCTCCTGTGCCCTCCCCAACTTCCCCCCCAGAGACCCACAGAGACCCAGGGGCAGCCAGAAGGGAAGAAGAGAGGGCATAAAAGAGAAGAGAGGGACCCAGAGACAGGCAGGAAAAGATAGGAGCAGGGAAGAGGAAGAGAGAAAGAAACAGAGACAGAGTGAGGGAAGGGGAAACATGGAGAAGAAAGAGGTCTAACCAGGGGCAGAGAGGGGAGAGCCAGAGACAGGGCAGACTTGGAGAAGAGAAACAGAGGCAGAAACAAAAGGAGGCAAAGGAGGCGGACCTAGAGACAGCCAGAGATCAAAGAAAAGGAGGGGGAAGAGATCTAGAAAGAGGGGCTACCTGGAGAAGGATGCCTGCAAAGGGGAGACATGGAGAGGAGGGACAGGAGAAACCTAGAGAGACATGAAGAAGGGAGAACTCCAGCTAGAGCAGCCAGAGACAAGGAGGGAGGCAAGGCAAAGAAGAAAAGAGACCAGGACCAAGGGGCAGGCAGAGAGAGGGGTGGGGAAATGTGGTAAAGGCCCAGAAAGAGACAGAGATGAGAGATAGGGCCAGGGAGAAACACCTAGGGGAAAGGGAGAGACAGGCACAGGGAAAGACAGAAGGGGGCGGAGGAGGGAGATGGGAGACAGTCCTGGGGGGTGGGTGGGGGGAAAGGAACAGACAGTTGGAGCTGGAGGCTGAGACCGGGTGACTCATCACCGCCCCCACCGCTCGTGACTGGGAGGAGACACATATGGGCTCACGTGTGCCAGCTTCACACGTGACCTCATGCCTTACACATGCCTGCCACATGGCAGTAGGGGCCCTGCACACCTTGCCCCCTTCTGACACTCCACACCCCAGGCTTCACATAGCTCTAGTCATGGGGCCCGATGTGCCTGCCACACATCACACCAGGTCCCTGGGCCTGCCATACTTGTCCATGAACATGTCCGGTCATACCCAGCCCCATACAGCTGACACAGCTACTTGTCAAGTGTACCACCGGACCACAACCACATCTTCGCCAACCAGAGGAGCCAAAACCTTCTGTCAAGGGCCATCAACAAAGCCCAGCCCAAGCCCTGCACCACCAGCCCAGCCTTGGGTGCACATGGCCCTAGAGATTGAGCATCTTCCACAGGCTTGCTCACAGACACTTTCATGCCTCCCACAACACATCCAGATTATCTCTCCTTTATTTTACCCAGCTTTATCTCTCCCTCCTCCCCAACGGACCTACGGTATACCATCAAGTATGCAAGAGCAAAGAACCCATAACCCAGGGTCATTCTATCTGAATTACAGTCCAGGTACAGCCCTGAACCTAATGTGTGATCTCAGGCAAATCCCTTCACCTGTCCAGCCCTGCCTCCCCCTTCTAGAAAATGAGGGGGTTGGATTAGATGATGCCAAAGGACCCTTCCATAAGAGTGGTCCAGGATAAGGGGAAGAGCCTTGGGCTGGGATTTGTTAGCATGACACATGGGAAAAATTGTTCCATCCAGGTTCAGAGACCTTGGTTGGAATGCCAGCTGTACCACTAAGAGTCCACTTTTCCTTGGGTATTTCTCAATTTCTACAGGTCTCGATAGGGTACAATAACTTACCTAATCTGAATTTATGATCCCGAGGTGCTGGCCTCTGAGTCACCAGGTCCCGTGTAAGCTTCAGTTTCCCCATCCATAAAATGAGGCTCAGTTAGAGTCCATTGCATTCCCAGGACCGGGTTCAAATCCTGGCTCTCCTACTTGCATACTATCATAACCTCAGTTTCCTCATCTGTAAAAGAAGCGGAGGAAGGTGATTAGATGAACTCTAAGGTTCCTTCTGGCTCTAAATTTATAATCCTATTATTATTTTCCTGTTTCACCTGATCTCCACACTACAGGTGTTTGAGAGTATCCCCAAGAGATCATGGATAGGAAAATGACCTGTAACCTAAATAGTTGTGCAAACATGTTAAAAAAGGAGAAGAACGAAAAGAAGGAGGAAGAGAAGGAGGAAAGAAGAAGAAGAAAAAGAAGAAGAAGAAGAAGAAGAAAGAGGAGGAGAAGAGGAAAAAGAATGACCTTCTTCCATTTGCTTATGCTGATGTTCTTTCCTCCTAAAATACTTTCATCTTGCTCCCCTCCTCACCTGAGCTCTACTTGTCCCATTCTTCTTTGCCCTTCTAAATGCACCGTCCTTAAGGAAGCTGCCACCAATTTTGCCCCTCCTACATACTGATAGTATTCTTTTTTCCTCAGAACATCCTTGCCTTCAGTCTTATGCCCACCCTTCTTTCATGGCCCTTATCCCATCCTCATCTAACTAGACCTTGAGCTCCTGCTGCATCTCCCCCAGCTCCAAGCTCAGTGTTGTACTCACTGGTTTTGAAACTCATCCACCTGTAATTTATAAAGAGCCTACTATGCTCAGCACATGAGGAGACACAGAGCCCTTAGTGGGGCAGGTGTCATAAACATGTGACAACAACCTTAGAGGCAGGTAATACAGGTATTATTACTTCCATTTCACAAATGAGGGAACTGAGGTTCAGAGAGAGTGAATAACTTGCCCAAGGTCACAGAGATGGTGTAAAAAGTTTGTAAACCCCATGTGCCCACTAAGAAGGGCAACCAGTTCCTGATAGAGAGGTAAACCAATTAAAGGAGGACTCAACTTTGCTGATAAGCTTGGAGCCTTGGGACCTGAGTTTGAATCCTGGCACTGCCATTGACTACCTATATGAATTTGGGCATGTCACCTGATGTCTCTGAACCTCAGCACCTACTTATGCATAATGAGGTGGTTTGACTAGATGCCCTGTGAGGATAGAATAACTATCCTAGGTAACTCCCGCTGTGAATGGTAGGCAACAGCTACTCAGAGTGTAATATCTATGCAAGCCACCAGGTGGCTCTCTAAGCTGAAGCTACTCCAGCTCACCTCCAGTGGGCATGAAGGAGAAACTTCCAGGTTAAGGAATTATATAGTATTTTAAGGTTTACAAAGCACTTTATAAATATATCATTTTATCTTCACAACAACCCTGGGAGATAAGTGCTATTATTATCTCCATTTTACAGATAAGGAAGCTAAGGCAGACAGAGGTTAAGTGATTTGCCCAGGGTCATTCAGAGAATAAATAAACATTTATTTAGCACTTAGGAATAAAAAGGTAAAGACAGACCCTGCTCTTGAGGAGCTCACAATCTATCCGAGGAGACAACATGCAAATAACTATGAACAAACAAGCTATATACAGGATAAATTGGAAATAATCAACAGAGAGGAAGCATTAGAATTAAGAGGAATCAGGAAAGGCTTCCTGTAGTAGGTCTAGTGTCTAAGGGCAAATTTGAACTCAGGTCTTCCTGGCTTCAGGCCCATGGACTCTTTACCACATTGAAAATGTAAATGAGGCAGCTATGTGACACAGGAGATAGAATGTTGAATTTAAGAGTCAGGAAGACCTGAGTTTAAATCAAGTCTCAGACACTTACCAGTCTTGTGACCTTGGGCAAGTTACTTAACCTCTTTCTGCCTCAGTTTCCTCATATGTAAAACAGGAATAATAATAGTACCTATTTCACAGAATTGTTGTGTGGATCAAAGGACATAGTATACAAAAAAAGGTACTTTGCAAACCTTAAAGTGCTATGTGAATGCTATTATTAAATTAAAAGTGTTGACCTCAAAACTCACCAGCACCAGGCTCCTTGCCACTCCTAATGATATTTGAAACATTAATGCCCTGACCCCTTCCCCCCTCTTCTGAATCTGGTTTTACACCCTAAAGACCAGTTCAGCTGACAGGTCACCTTCCAAGCATTTTGGTTTCAAGCATCCTGGGTTTGAGGCAGCATCTCTCTCAGATCACCATGGACTCCTCTCACCTTCTGGCTACTTTTGTAACAGCCCCCACTCAAGAACTCGGCACCTGCTAGGTAAGTCTGACATTGGGCTCCTTAGCCAGCTGTCCTTTGGAATCTCATCATGAAGTACCCCAGCAGCTCCCTGCATCCCCATCAGCAAGTGTGAATGTGCTCTTCTGTACACCTGCACATCTGATTCCATCTCACTTTCTGCCAGGCTGCCAATAACACCTTGTTCCAAGTGTCCAATGTCAGCTCAAACCCCAGGAAGATGGAGACCCCAGGGAGAGATGTGGAGCACCAGGAACTCCACTGAGGCACTAGAAAGAGGTCAGAGAGAGGCCTCAAAGGTCTGATAACAAAAAGGACAAACTAAGCCCCACTCAGTCCTGTGTAATTACGTAGAGTGGCAAGGGGTATCGGAGATCATCTTTCATTGTACGGAGAAGGAAACTGAATTTCATAGAGGAGCAGGAAATTGCAAGGTCAATTCAACTCAACAAACATTTATTAAAGAAATGACCTAGGTGGATGAGATACAGAGACAAAATGGAGACACTGAAAAATAGTTCCTGTCCTCAAGGAGCTTACATTCCAGTAGGGAGATACAATACACATGTGTAGCACTCTCTCTGGGCTGCCCTCCCAACTTGTGTTTGTAAATTGGGGGTCTCCAGAGGCTGGCTACTATTGATCTCTTAAAGTTCTAGGCTTTAATATTAAAAGGCTGGGCTTCTGGATCTATTGCCAATGAGTCCCAGCAGTGTGCGTCCCACTGACAATCAGTAATCGCAATCAGTTTGTTAGCAAAGGTATTTACTAAGATGGTATGATAAAAACATTGTTTATAAAACATTCCCCCTAAAAGCGTGGGGCACATTCTCCCACAAATGCACACAGAACAGTGGGTATAAAATGGGCTCAAACTCAGAGGTAATGGTCAGGAGTCATCCCTTACATGCGACAAAAAGGTGACAACTCCTGGCACTCGGTGGCCTGGATCAAAGGAGATAATATTTGTAACGTGCTTAGTACACTGCCTGTCACAGAGCAGGCACTATATAAGTGCTAGTTATATAAAACAACAGGAGGATCATCATTAATCTTTCTTGAGTTCATAACCAGAATCCTCTGATGCAACAAGTCATGATCCCTAAAGCTGTTTCCTCCTTTCTGCACCCACGTTTGTCTTCAGTGGGTCTCTTTCTGGTCCCAGCTTGAACGATATACTCTCCTACTCATTTAGTATGTCTAACAATATGGTCATTGTGGGGACAACAGGGAGAGGGAGAGAAGGATGGGGGGAGGGGGAGAGAAAGAGAAAGAGAGAGAGAAAGACAGAGACAGAGAGACAGAGAGACAGAGAGAGAGAACCCTTCTCCTCTCCCAAGATCTACTATCTGAACTGGTCTTCCATCAATAGATTGGTCTACTGCTTAACCTTGGACTAACTGATATTTTTATATGTAAGCCCAGAGGTGTATCAGGTTCTTGCACCAATCTAAAGACATTTCCTGTATGCTGTCATCTGTCTTCACCCAATGCTCAAAGTACATTAATCCTCTCAAATTAATTAAGGACTTTATTCATACCTAGTTTACACTTTTGATTTATTGATTAATCCAATCCAGTTCACATCTTGTGTGATTAATTGGAGAGGGGAGTGGCACCCCATATTTACACACATAATTAAGTAAATACAAGATTATTTGAAGAAGGTGAGGATACTCACAACAAGGAGGCTTAGGGAAAGTTTCTCAGAGAAGGTGGCCCCTGAACTGAGCCTTGAAAAGAGAGCTAAGGATTCTATTTTCAGTTTTGCCATTAATTTGCTATGTGACTTAGGGCAAGGCACCCTCAACCTCCCTTTCTTTATCTATAAAAATGAGGGGCTTGGACGAGATGGTCTCTAAGGTTTAGGGTTACCCTCTCCGTTTCTCAGCCTTGATTCTCTCTGCTTTTCTGTCCTCTCACACCCCCCTCCTTCAGTCCCCTCCCCTCTTCTCCCTTCAGTCTCTCATCTCTCTATCCTTTAGTCTCCCCCAACTCTATCTCTTAGGGTCCCCCTTTCTCTGTCCATCACTCTCCCCCTTCGGTTTTCCTTCTTTCTGCCTCTTAGTCTACCCTTATCTCTCTCCATCCCTCAGTTTTTCTTCTCTGTTTTACTTTGTCACCCTCTCTCTGGTTCCGGTGTTCCACTCTTTCTCTTGACCTCAGTCTCTTCCTCTTTTTGTCCCTCAGATTCCCCTTCTGTTTTTAGTTTATGCCAGCTGTGGAAGACCCAGGAATTAAAGTTCTCAGCATCAAAGTCCTTGGCACTGTCAAATGGATTCAACTCAGAAACAAATAGGTACCACTATCGGCTTTGCAGCTGCACCCTAAAGACCTCGGGACCATTCTATCCAACTTGCTTCTCTGTATGTTGTCACCCCCTTACACAGTGAGCTCTTTGGGAGCGGCTTTTCTATTGGGTCCTGGTTGCTGATCACATAGTAAGCATTTAACGCATACGCCTTCCTACCAGCCTGCCTTCATTCTGTGGATTTGTTCTTTCCTTGAGTAGAACGCAGGCTCCTTGAGGGCAGGGACTTTTTTTTTCTTGGTCTTCCCAGAGCCCAGCAGACGACTGGAACTTAGTAAACACTTAATAGATGTGTTGATTGATTGAGCTTCAGAGCACCAGGTACAGTCCTTTTTACACAATAGAATGTAAGCTTCTTGAGGGCAGGAACTGCGTTTCTCTTTGTATCCCCAAAGCCCAGCACAGTGCCTGGCGCTAGTGAGAGCTTAATAAAGTTTAATGAATTGTTGAATTGAGTTATAGCTTGCAAAAAGCCATATAGATGCCAGCTATTATAATTTGTTTTTAGTAATTAATATTATTATGGTGCAGTATGGCGTAGAGCGCTGGACTGGGCGCCTGAAGGGACTGGGTTCGAGCCACGCCTCTGATTTTGCCACAATGGATAACTTTCTGAGCCTCAGTTGCCTCTTCTGTAAAATGGAGAGAATAATCCTTATGCTCCCTCTCCCCCAATCCCGCTCATTGGGCTGTTGCTAGGAGGACACCTTACAAACCTCCGAGGGCCCTACAAGAGAGGGCTATTATTTTTAACGATCATCGCTTCTTTACCTAATCACCTCTTTTACCTCTCCATCCCCTCCTTCCCTCCACCCCCATATCCCACAAGATGGCGCCCGCAGCCTCATTCGTGCTTCAGCTGACGTCACTCCCAACTTGCTCTCCGCCCCAACCAGCCCCGGACGTTGGGGGCGTGGCTCTCCGCGAGGGCAAGGGAGGGGCGTGGCGACGGCGCGCGCGCCGGGGCGGGCCGATGAAAAAACGTCGCGTGTGGATTGGCCGCTGTCGGCAGAGGGGCGGGAAAGAAGGGCGGGCACCTCCGCTCCGCGAGCCGGCATTGGACTCGACCCCGGCCTCGCGGGCAGCCGATTGGCCTTCCCGCCCGCCCGCCCGCCCGCCAGCCCGCCGGACGCACGGCCGAGAAGGGGAGGGGGCCGCCGGAGCGGCGGAGAGGGGCGGGGCGTTGCTGAGGGCGACTGGCGACCAGAGCGAGGCTGAGAGCGAAAAGAGAGAGAGAGAGGGAGAGAGAAAGAGAGGGAGAGAGGGAGGCCGAGAGAGAGAGGCCGAGACGGAGAGGGAGATCGAGAGCGAGATCGCTGCGGGGATCGCGTGAGCGGACGGCCGACGTGGCCTGGCCCAGCCCGGCCCGAGGACGGAGCGAGCCAGTGAACCCGCGGGCCCCAAGGAGGCGGAGGACGGGCAGGGCGCGTGCGCGGGCCCGGTGAGTGCAGGGCGCGAGGCGCCCAGGGCTGGGGCCCTTCCCCTCCCCCTTTCCCCTCCCCCCCCCGCGCGCCGCGCGCCACGCACCACCCCGCCTGCGCAGAGAGCGCCGCGCCGCGCCGGCCAGGAGACGGCCGCGACACTCCGCGGACCGCGCGTGCGCGCGCCGAACACCGGGGGGGGGGAGGTGGGGAGCAAGTGTGTGTGTGTGTGTGTGCGCGCGCGCGCGCGCGCGATCCCCCGGTGGGGGGGGCATTCTGGGAGGGGACCCCCTGGAGCTGGGGGTGACCCACGCCCCCTCCCCCCCATCCCCTTCCGCCTGGCTGAGCCCAGCAAGTCCTACCTAGGTCCTAGGACCTGAGCCCCCGAGGGAGGGGGAGGCATGAGCATCGATTAAGCGCCTGTTGTGAACACCTCATTATCCCCCTCCTTGCGCTCTGCGGGGGTGGGGGGGCTGCCTAAGACCTCATCGCCCCCCCCAAAAGCGCCCCCTGCCAGGCCTGGGACTCCCCAAAGTGTCTGATGGGGGAGGGTCTTTTGTTTCTCCCTCGTTAAGGAAGCTCCTTGAGGGCAGGGCCTGACCTTAAGCTCCTTTCCTGGAGAAAGGGAGGGACTTAGTAATAATAAGTGCCTGTTGATTGCTTCTGCCCCTCAGTCCGCTTCCTGGGGCTGCCCCTGTCAGCCCCGTCCCTGTCTGAGGCCAGATTTCAGAGTTCTGTCCACTGCACCACATGTCTTGTCTTCTTTCTTTAAACCCCCAGGTTCCACCCCACAACCCCTTTTCTTTGTAGGTAATCTCATCTGTGACTGTACTGTGAAGATTGAAGCCATAGGTGATGAGGCCCCTCATTTCTGGGCAGACTTCTCGCAGTCACCCCAAATCAGGCTTCATTGACTCTTGTTTGTACCCCACTTCTTCTTTGCTCCCTTATCAGGGGAAGGGGTTACCTTTCTCCTTGTGCCAGTGACACGCCACCCCTATCACATCTCTTTCATTGTCCGACATAACTTTATCTCTGGTGCCCTCCCTGATGCCTACAGATCAGGTGGGGAGGATGATATCCATTTATGTAGCATCTATTGTGTGCCAGGCACTGTGCTAAGCACTTGACAAATATCCCATTTGATCTTCGCAGCCACCCTGAGGTAGGTGCTGTTATTGCTATCCCCCTTGTACTGTAAAGGAAACTGAGGCAAATGGGTTTAAGTGTCTAAGGCTGAATCTGAAATCGGATCTTCATGACTCTAGGCCTAACACTGGTCTCAGACTTCTTAAAAACTCATGCTTTGACCTTATCTGCATCTCCAGCTGTGATCCTCTGTCTCCTCTCATTCATTGCTCAGTTCCTAAAATGAGTAGTATGTGTTCGTTGCCTCCACTTGCCCCCTCTCATTCAATCCTCCATGCTCCTACAACTGATCCCCAAAGGTGCTGGGCCCCTTTTCTGCTCAGCCTAACGGCCTTTTCTTAGTCCTTGTTCTCCTGGATGTTGGTTTGGTTGGACATTATTCGACACGAGGGCCTGCTTCTCTGCCTGGATCCCCTCTTCTCCCGGCCTCTGTTCTGGTCTTCTTACGTGGCTGACTCCCCTTAGTCTCTGGCAATGCTTCGTCCTCCTCACTTCTCCGACGTGACTCTCCCTGGGTGATCTCACCCCTCCCTGTGGGTCTGTCCCCTCCCCGGATCTGTATATTCAGCCTGCTGAGCCCATCACAGCCTCCGATGCCACATCTCTACTGGCTGTCCTGTTAGTGTCTTGCACTCAGCCCATCCGAACTCCTGCCTTCTTTCTCCTGGCAGCACCACCATGGTCCAAGTCACCGGCGTCTGAGAGGTCAGTCCCATCTGTGGCTTCTTCACATCCAGTTGGTTGTCCGGCCCCATCCCTCTCTCTCAGTCTCCCTCCTTCAAGCTTTATTACCTCTTGTTTGGACTGTTCTAAAAGGCTACACACTGACCTTCCATTTTCTGCCTGGAGGAAGCCCCAGGGGCTTGGAGTCAGAAAGATCTGAGTTCAGATCCCACCACAGACACTTAAGTACCCTCTTCTAGCCTCAATTTCATCATCTGTAAAATGGAGATAGTAGCTCCTACCTGACAGGTTTGGTGAGGATTGAATGAAATATTTGTAAAAGTGTTTAGCAAACCTAAAGCACTATAGAAAGGCTAGCTATTATTCGTTTTCCACTTTCCATTCCATTCTTCACATTGTTGATAAATTATCTCCCTAACACTCAAGTACAGCTCTGAAACTCAGAAACCTTCAGTGGCTTCCCATTTTCTAGAGGAAAAAAATAGGAATTCCTCAGCCTGCCATTTCCTTAACGGCCCTTTCACAACACTGCTCTCGGGTCCCACGTTCCGGATAAATTAAAGGACTACTTGGCTGAAGTCCTTGTGTCCCCCCTGCCTCAAGTGTGCTGGGTTCCCATCTCTCCTGCTTCAGGCCCATTCAGCTGCTGCCTTCTTGGAAAATCTTTCCTCATCTCCCCTCAGGCTTTGTCTGAAACTCCATCACATTCTACTTTCAGTGCCTTTTGACAAGTTGTATCCCTTGTAATGTCTTTCCTGATAAAATAGAAACTCATTGAGAACAGGAGTTTTGTCATTTTTCACTTGTATCCCCCAGGCCAAGCACAGTGACTTGAAAATAGTAAGCATGAAACAAAGTGGGGTTGATGGAGGGGAGATTAGAATATAAAGATGGGGAACCAGGGTCTGAAGGCTAGAGTTGAGGGGCAGGGGACCTAGACTGTGGTCAAGAGGCCATCTGGGAAGGCCAGACTGTCGAAAGGAAGCTGGGTTGTAGCGTAGAGAGAAAGAGATCTGGAGGCCTTGGTGTGGGGAGGCTGCTGGCCGAAGGCCCAGCCAGAGTGATGGGGAGTGTGCCAGAAGGGAATGAACATGGGAAGAAAAGGTTGGAGAAAGGACTGGGGGATCAGCGGTGTGGGAGCAGAGGGTTAGGGTAGCGGAACCTGAAGCCCTAGAGGGGGGAGGGTCAGGGGGGGGGTTTGGGGCCAAGGGAAATGGCCGTAGCAGCCAGAAGCTATTGGGATGGGGACCAAGCTGACCAGAAGAGGTGCGGCTTGGTAGAGCACTGAAGCAGAGGGAAAGCCTGAGGATTCCTGGATCTCCTTTCCAGGAGGGGTGTGAGGAGGCCCCTGCCTTCCTGCATGAGCCAGGGCCTGGCCCTGGGAGAGCTCTCCTTTCTGCACAGATGGGATGGGCCCTCTTCTCTGGCCTCCTCTCCTCCTGACACCTCTCCTTTCCCTGTGGGAGATTGTTTTGTCTCTTTCTTTCCCCATCCCCTTCCCCTCCCCTAGGGCCCAGCTACCATGACGGAGGAGTCTGAGGAAACGGTCCTCTACATCGAACATCGCTATGTCTGCTCTGAGTGTAACCAGCTCTTTGGCTCCCTGGAGGACGTGCTGCTGCACCAGAACTCGCATCTCCCTCAGCAGCACTTTGAGGTGGTGGGTGTGGCTGACCCTGGGGTCTCTGTGGCTGCAGAAGCTCCCAGTGGCTCTGGCCTCTACCAGACTTTGGTGCAGGAGAGCCAGTACCAGTGCCTGGAATGCGGGCAGCTCCTCTTATCCCCAGGCCAGCTCCTCGAGCACCAGGAGATGCACCTCAAGCTGCTGAGCACCCAGGAGCCAGCCCCCCCAGAGACACCCCCAGCCAAGCCACCCCCCGCTATCTCTGCCAGCACCATTCACTATGAGTGTGTGGACTGCAAGGCACTCTTTGCAAGGCAGGAGCTGTGGCTGAGCCATCGCCAGACGCACCTCCGGGCCGTGGCAGCCGTTGCAGCTGCGGCCACCTCCCCTCCCCAGCCTTCACCACCCCCAGCTGTGGGGCCCCAGCTGGGCCAAGCCCAGGTGGCCCTGGAGCACTCCTATCGCAAGTCAGAGGAGGCCGGGGACGCCGCCGGCCCCGCGGGGGCTGGGGAGGTGGTGGCCGAGGTCGAGCTGCTCCTTTACAAGTGTTCTGAGTGCTCCCAGCTCTTCCACTTGCCCGGCGACTTCCTGGAGCACCAGGCCACTCACTTTGGTCCATTGGCCCCCGGCCCCGAGACCGCTGGGGCCCCTGACCTGCCCCCGACCTCTGACCACAGCTATGAGCTTCGCAATGGTGGTGAGGGTGCGGGCAGCGGGACCGGGCGGGAGCGCAGGGGCAGTCGGCGGCTGCTGCGACGAGGTAGCGGAGATCCCCCGGGGGTGGCCTCCCCGGAGCTCTTCTGCCCCACCTGTGACCAGCTCTTCCTCTCCCCACATCAGCTGCAGCAGCATCTGCGCAGCCACCGCGAGGGGCTCTTCAAGTGCCCTCTCTGTAGCCGCACCTTCCCCAGCCCGCCCAGCCTGGACCAGCACCTGGGCGAGCACAGCGGCGAGTCCCACTTCCTGTGTGTGGACTGCGGCCTGGCCTTCGGCACAGAGGCCCTCCTCCTGGCACACCGCCGCACCCACACCCCCAACCCGCTGCACTCATGCCCCTGTGGCAAGACCTTTGTCAACCTCACCAAGTTCCTTTACCACCGGCGCACGCATGGTGCGGGGGGCGTCCCCATCCCTGCCCCTACCCCGGCAGCGCCCTCTGAGGATCCCGAACCAGTGCCCACGGAGGCGGGAGGGGCCCCAGGGGCTGCGGCCCCTCCCGCTGGCCTCCCCACGGTAGCGGGGAATCACCGCTGCCTCCTGTGTAGCCGGGAGTTCAGCAAGGCCCTGCAGCTTGCCCGCCACCAGCGCTTTGTGCATCGGCTGGAGAGGCGACATAAGTGTGGCGTCTGTGGCAAAATGTTCAAGAAGAAGTCGCATGTGCGTAACCACCTGCGCACCCACACGGGCGAGCGGCCCTTCCCCTGCCCTGACTGCGCCAAGCCCTTCAACTCGCCCGCCAACCTGGCGCGGCACCGGCTCACGCACACCGGGGAACGCCCCTACCGCTGCGGTGACTGCGGCAAGGCCTTCACGCAGAGCTCCACGCTGCGCCAGCATCGCCTCGTGCACGCCCAGCACTTCCCCTACCGCTGCCAGGAGTGTGGCGTGCGCTTCCACCGCCCCTACCGCCTGCTCATGCACCGCTACCACCACACCGGTGAGTACCCGTACAAGTGCCGCGACTGCCCGCGCTCCTTCCTCCTGCGCCGCCTGCTCGAGGTGCACCAGCTGGTGGCCCACGCAGGGCGCCAGCCTCACCGCTGCACGGCCTGTGGCGCAGCCTTCCCCTCGTCACTGCGCCTGTGCGAGCACCGCTGTGCCGCGGCCCAGGCCCAGGCCCCCCGGCGTTTCGAGTGCGCCACCTGTGGCAAAAAAGTGGGTTCTGCTGCCCGGCTCCAGGCCCACGAAGCTGCCCACGCCGCGGCCGGGCCAGGGGAGGTCCTGGCCAAGGAGGCGGCCGCACCCCGACTGCCTCGGGCCGCGCGCCCCCCACCCCCTGCGTCCTTGCCTGCCCCCTCTCCCACCACAGCCCCTCCAGTCCCTGCCCGGCGACGGGGGCTAGAGTGTAGTGAGTGTAAGAAGCTCTTCAGCACGGAGACATCGCTGCAGGTGCATCGGCGCATCCACACAGGGGAGAGGCCTTATCCGTGCCCGGACTGCGGCAAGGCCTTCCGCCAGAGCACTCACCTTAAAGACCACCGGCGCCTGCACACTGGGGAGAGGCCCTTCGCCTGTGAGGTATGCGGCAAGGCCTTCACCATTGCCATGCGCCTCGCCGAGCACCGCCGCATCCACACCGGCGAGAGGCCCTATGCCTGCCCTGACTGTGGCAAGAGCTACCGCTCCTTCTCCAACCTCTGGAAACACCGCAAGACCCACCAGCAACAGCACCAGGCGGCCGTCCGCCAGCAGCTGGCCGAGGCAGCGGCCGAGGCAGCAGCCACCCTCACAGTGGTGGAGACGGCAGTTGAGGGTCTGCCCTTGGTAGAAACCATTGAGATCTACCCACTGGCGGAAGGCGACGGGGTGCAGATCAGCGGGTGAACCCAGCGCCTCGCACGTGGGTCCCTGATACAGTGTCATTGTCCCCACCCGGCCTGGCTGTGACCAGTCGGGGCTCTTGCTCCGTGAAGTCGGTTTGGGCAGGAGGCCGCCCTGTCCTCTGTACATACCGCATCCTCTCCTCTCCCGTCTTTGGTGTTAGTTCAGAGTAACTGGATTTTTCTCTCATCACGGTTAAGTCCTCCCTGTCCCAGGGTCCCTGCTATTCCCATTTGCCCTCTGCCCTAACAGAGCAGTTCCCAACCCTGGGCCAAGGCAGCCAATAAAGACTGAGTTGGACACACGTGGGTGTTTTCTTTGGGGTGTGGCCGAGGGGGCGGCCATTTCATCGGCTTGCCCTGCTCTCCCTCTCTGGTCACAAAGGGAGGGGTTGGTATACCATGAAGCAGGGTGGAGGTCAGCCACTAGAGGTCCCCACTGGGCCCCAGACAACCACGGCAAGCAGGGTTGGCTTTCGTCAGGTTTCCAGTGTCGGCTGTGGCCTCCTCCCAGAATTCTCATGTCACATCCCTGCATCATGTCCCTGTCTGGCCTGCCCACATCCCATTCCCTGCCAAGCACTCCTCCAGGTTAGAATTGGGAAGGAAGTGTGAAGGGCCTGCTTGGGAACTACACAGGTCTGGTCCTAGGGAACCCTGCCTCTCAGTATGGCAACTCAGGGATTCCACTTTATGCACTGGAGAGACTGGATACCTGTGAGGTCAGAAATGACCCTTCTCAACTGGCAGCCTCTCCGTCTTTCCCTCCATGCTGCTTCCTGCCCCTGGAGCCAGTTTGGGTTATAATTCCCAGTTTTCTAGGGCTTTCATTCCCCCTACAAAGCCAGCATTTTAAGTAAAGCCCCTACCTAAAGCAATTCTTGAGAAATGTGGTCTTGCCACCTCCCACAAAGAGTCATCTCTGAGCCAAAGCAGTAGCGGGCCTCTGTGGTAAATGTACTCCGTAGCATTATTCCTTCTCTTTGAGGATAAACAAGAAATCCCAGCCTCAGATCCTATCCTTTGACCTCGTCCATCACCCCTCACCGTCAAGGAAGAGCCCAGTCTGAGACAGTCCGAAGAATCTGTTGTGACTTTAGCAGTGATCCGACACCTTGGTACGGGAGAGAGTTGGCTGTTTAATAGGATGGCCCCATTGGGAAGGGCGTTCAAGCTCTGAGATGCCCTGACCTGATGGGGGTGCACCATGCAGGGCTGAGGAGGGTCCTTCCATTCAGGTCTTTCCCACTTTGAATGCCTTGAAGGTCACATTTGAGGCTGGGCAGATGTAGGCTAGTCTCAGGCTTAGCACTGGGTTATGTGGCCTCCAAGCTCCAGATAGACTAACATCTGGTTCCCAAGACAGTCCTGAGGTTGGGGAAGATGGGAGGGGCTGTTTCTCTGGGCCAGGGCAGCAGTGCTAAGGCCTGGGTTCCAGGTGATGGAGGGCAGATTCCCCAAAGTCTACGTGGATGTGTTGGGATTGCTGACATTTCTGGTGCCATCCAGGACTGCCTTTGGCTCCTTTCAGCAGGCACAAGGACAGTGTTCATGTGTGTAGTTTGTGTGTGATCTAAGTCCAGTTCCACATGCCCCAAGTGCTTATCTAGACCCTGCACCTGCCATGGTAGGTCAAGTATTGGATAAGACCTAGATCATTTGGTCCAAGCTGCACCTGAGCATGGAAGACACAGCCTAACCGCCCATCCAGTCTGTGCTTGAAGCCCTGCAAGGATATGACACCCACTGTCTACCCACTGTACATCAGGAGAGCGCTGATGTCTAGCAAATGCTTCCATAGGTTGACTGAAGTGTGGCTGTGGGGTCAAACAAACAAATCAAGGCCCTCATTTGTGGGATCCTAGGATTTAGAGCTAGAAGGAGACCCAAAGGCTACCTTCCTCATTTGGAGGCCCAGAGTGGTCAAAGACTCAAGCACTTGATGACAGAGCCTTATCTTGGGTACTTGGAGAGAGCTACCATGTGCTCCTAGCATTTTGAGGCCAAGCCTTCTTTACATTCTGGTCTGGCATAACCTCCAGGCTTCTTAGCTATCAGAGTCAGTCAGGGCCCCCTTGGACCATTCTGTGGTTTGTCAGGGTCCTCCTAGTACCCAGTGCTCCGTGGTCTAACCTAACCGTGGCAGCAGGACTACCACATTGGCCCTGCTGGACGTTTCCCCTACATTAGTAAAGCCTAAGGCAGTGGCTTACAAAAGCACAAGTGAGCGTTGTCTGGGTTATATTTTATGCTTTTGTACATTTCCCCATTACATCTTAATGTGGCTTAGTTGCTGGCAGTCCACTAAGATTCAGAGATCCTTTTCATGTACAGGTTTTTCTAGTAGCTCTTCCCCCATCCTGTACTTGTGTATTTGAGTTTTGATTTTTGGATTTTTTTATTTTTACTGGTAGTTTATGTTTTTGCACCAGCTTTGCATTTCCAAATACAGGTTGTCCCAAACATCTTAATGCATTTTTAAGTGTTAACGTCCTCCCCTCTTTTATTCAGTAAAACATCCTTTGTAGCAGTTGATCATTTTTTTTTTTAATCCAAGTGTAGGACTCTTAACAGTTAGCCCCAAAGAGCTGCCTCCAGAGATCCCTGCCAGAGAAATGGGAGAAGCGCTGCTACCCCTGTTGGGTTCTCTTCCAAAGAACTGCCCTCTTTGCTCAAGACAAGAGACTTAAGGAGGAAATGGTAACTTTCTTTGGGTCCTTCAAAGGCCATCATATGGAAGAAGGACTTCCTTGGCTCCATGAGAGCCACCCAGAACAAAATCTGGAGGGTAAATGATTTCAACTAGACATACCCGAAAACTTTTATGATGATTCTCAAGTCAGAGACTTGCCGTAGTTACTACCTACCCCTCATTACTAAAAGTCCTCAGAATGAATGACCATTTGTCAGGTATAAGGCTTAGTGCTTTTTAGGGTTGCTTTTCACTCTTCAGACACTATTGACTCTAAAATCAGGGAATCAGGGTGGTCTAAGCCCCCAAACACTAGGAACCTGGGGTGTAGAGAGGAAGGTAGCTAATTGCATGATGGCAGAAATTGCACTTTTTTTCTAAAAACTTTGGGGAAGGGTATTATTGGGGAAGGCAGATTCTATAGTGTGTGGGGGTCAAGTAAGCATCTCCTGTACTCTGGGCAGACATGTCAAACTTGTGTGTGCACCTGGATCGGATTAAAATGTAAATGAGAAATGTTTAGCAAAATAAATTTTTAAACTGCAACATAGATGATGTTAATTTGTGGTTTTCTAAGCATTTGTGGCAGGAATCCATTTCTGTTTGAGTTTGCCACTGATCTGGAGTGAGCATACTTCCTGTTTGGCCTTCAAAAGATGATAACTCTGCATGGGCCAGGGAGAAGCTTCTCTTGGGTCCACTGTTACTGTCTACTTTCCCATTCCCAGTCTACCATGAATGACCCCAAAAGTGTCTGTGTGAAGGCTGACTTAAGAGAAAGGAGAATCAGACAGTACTAGGAGATCTGTGGCCACATTGCCCATGCAATGGAGTCCATCCACCAATAAAATATCAAATCATGAATAGATATTAATGGCAATGATTCCCCTAACAAGATGCAGACCTGTTAAAATGGGTTTGTTTCACCCTAAAAAAGACAACAATCCATCATTAATATTTGTGCTTGACTCTTCTATTTAAAATCCTACTACCACTTGAGCTGGAAGGACCATTAGCAGTCATCTGGTCGAATCCCTTCTTATGAGTGGGGAAACATACCCAGAGAAGCCTTGTTTGAAGCTGGGGAAGCTATTGCCCCTCACTGTTCCTCCTCTATAAAAAGATGGGATGGAGTAGTAGATGCCTCCTCAAGCCCTGGGATTTGCCCATGGTGACATGCAGAGCTGAGAAGAACAGGGTCTAGAACCCTGTTCTAGAACACAGTAGAATCTCCCTGCTGGGCAGGACTTTATGCCCACCCCACCGACGTCAGAGCAAGGAATCTGCTCAATGGTCCCTATAACTTATGTTCAATGACCACTAGTGATGGAGAACCTAATATCACCGATGGTGGTCAGTCTGGCCCACAGTTGGTGGTTGTAATTGTTAAGAAATTTTTTTCTTTGCATCAGCCTCCCTTATGAATTCCCCTTGTCCCTAGGTCTTGGAACTTAGGCATCTAGTCAGGAAGACCTGAGTTTGAATCCAGTCTCAGACACTTAATTAGCTGTGTCCCTGGGTAAGCCACTTCACCTCTGCCTCAGTTTCCTCAACTGGAAAATAACCGCACCTACCTTGCAATATTCTGTGACTCAGATGAGATATTTGTAAAGAGCTTAGCATAGTACCTGGCACATAGTAGGTGCTATATGTTATTTTTTATCATCATCATTCTTCCCTTTGGGACCAACCATGACAAAGTCTAAATTTCTCTTCCTCATGACAATTTCCAATACCTGAAATACTTAATCCTGTCACTCCTATGTCTTTATTTCTCTAGGCTAAATCTTCCCAGTTCTTTTACCTATTCCTTGTATGCCATGGTCCCCAGTGCCGTCCCTTCACCGCTAGTCTTATCATCCACCTCTCAGCACTATCCAGCTTATCAATGTCTGTCCTAAAGCATGGCGCCAAGAAGCAAACACACCCTTCTGGGTGTGGTCTGACCAAGGCAGAGTGCACTGGGATGGCCACCTCCCTCATTTTGAACACTGCCTCTCCATATTAGCTTTTTTTTTTTTAAGCCATCTCATTACACTGGTCACTCTCAGTCCACTCCACTCCCCAGATCTCTTTCACATGAATTGCTATCAGCCATATTGTTGTTCAATTGTTTCAGTCATGTCTAACTCTCCAATCTCCATGAAATCATGTTGGGGTTTTCTTGGCAGAGATACTGCAGTAGTTTGCCATTTCCTCCTCCAACTTATTTTACAGACGAGGAAACTGGGCAAACGGTGAAGTGACTTGCCCAGGGTCATACAGCTAGAAAGTTTCTGAGGCCAGATTTGAATTCAGGTCTTCCTAACTCCAGAGCCAGTGCTCTATACACTGTGCCACCGAGCTCCATCTTAGTCATCTCCCATTTTGTACTTGGGAAATTGATTTTTGGACCCCTGTTTATCTGTATTAGGCTTCATTTACCCACATTATCCCTGTTAGTTCATTTGCCAAAATTCTAACCCAGTGGTCTTTCCTCTCTGTGGCACTGCCCCATAACCACTGACCTAATAAAAATCACCATTCATATTCTGCGTTGGAAATCATAGTTAGGAGGTAACTAGACAGCAGTCTGGTTCAGAATGATTCAGACTCGGGCACAGCATAGCCCTA